TAAGACTCTGGAAGCCTCAGCAGGCTGAGTGGAGCGGTGAGGTTTAAGACAATGCCCCAGAAACCCTTGGTATCTACTTCAGGGTCACCATCATCTTTCCCAGAGACAACCATGGTCTCAGGGAGGTGGGAAGGTCCTCCATCATAGAACTCTGTTACATGTGGTTTTGGCATAGGCAGGGCCTGGCTGCGAGCCCACAAGTCTGGGTCCAGACCCTATCCATACAGAGCCTGGGGAAAACTCTACCTCACAGGTCTTTGGAGCCTCCCCTTTGAGGGCTTGGTTTGTTCAAGAGATCTGCAGACATTCTAGGCCCCACTGGCTGCCCTGCAGAATGGAGCCCAAGCAATGGGCTCAGGGTCACCTCCTTCCCTGGCCAGTCCTCAGGCCCAAGTAGGACAATAGGGCCAGGAGCCACTGGTCCTTTACCTGGTAGGGAGTTGCCAACAAGCTCCAGGTACTGGTCTACAGAGGTAAGAACTTTGTAGCCTGCACTGTTGATGATGGCTCTGGGTGGCATCTGCCGCTCATAGGCCTGAAGAGAGCAAGAGAAATGGAGCCTCAAGGTTAAGACGGTAGCCAAGCACAGGCCCCCATTTCCAGCTGGTTCCAGGGGTTACTCAGCTACTTGTCCAAGGTGGGGAAGGAGAGGACTAGAGTGTCTTTTGAACAGGGGCTGGGATGAAGCCTCATGTGAAGTGTCTGCCTGGCACAATCAAGGACGGAGTTTAGTTCCCACGATGGAGGGGATGGAGAGCAACTGTCCTACTGACTGGAGACGGAGTGGTGTAGTAACGAGACCCAGCTCTGCAACCCTGACCTCAAGAGCTGGGCAAGGAGGGAGGGGAAGGATCCACACAAAACGCTCGGCACAGCCTGGCATGTAAGCTCTGTTACAGGGGCAGCTACCTCAATGGCTGCCACTGTTGCCTGTGTGACCAGCGAGTCTATGATTGTCTGTTACATATTAGAAACTGTGTTGGGGACCCTGCATACTTCATTTTACAGGATGGTCTCACAAAACAAGAGGTGGCTCGCCTCCAATCATGCGGACAGGAAGTAGGTGTTGACTCTGAACCAGGGCTGTCCCCAGAAACCAAGAGCTTTGACATTACATTGAAAGCTCACCCAAAATTCCAAGGTTCTAAGTTTCACAGTGTTTCAAAGGAGAGTTAGGTACCCAATTGCCTACCCATCAGGGATGCAGAGCAGTTGTCTGCCACTAAGAGGCAGACAGATCTGCTCTGAGACAGGTCAGACTGGCTTGTCTTTGGGGCAGTGCTGGAGAAAAGTTTGGCAGATGAAATAAAGTCTGTAACATAACCAGGTGGGACTTCTGCCAAGGGCCCAAAGCGAAGACAAGACACGGCCAGCCCCCATTTCTTCTCAGACCCACATCAGGGCAAGGAGGACAGGGCAAGGAGAGTGCAGGAGCCCATGTAGAGAGTGGCACACAGGGGCAGACTGGCCAGCCAAGGGCCACTCTGAGAGGGCAGGCTCTGCGGGCGAGGGAGGGATTCGGTAGGGCTTGCGAGTAAAGGAGAGTTTACAACAAGGACATGGACACCTGGACAAAGGGTGAAATGACATCGAGAGAAACGGCCCCAAGGACAAACAGGTTTGGAGAAGTGGAGAAGACTCATAAATGTTGCTTTGGGCCTGGGAATTTGGAGGAGAGAAGCTAGGTGGCAGGTGTGAAGGGGGACAGCATGGGGAATGGAGCCGGGATCTAGTCTGGGGGGTCACGGAGTAAGAACCCGGGAAGTGCAGAGGAGGGTGGCTGGCTGCCAGGCACAGTGCGCTCACCACGTGGTTCTCGTACAGCACCAGCCCATAGTTGTGGGGCACCAGGCTGAAGCGGTTTCTCCACTTCTTATTGTCTTCCTGGTACTGGAAAAGGTTCCCAGAGAAGATGATGCGCTCCTCCAGGGGCATCTGTGGGCAGGAAGTAAGAGTAAGGCCAAGAAGGAGCAAGGAGTCCCAACAAGGTGGCTTCACAGCCGTCAATGCCGTCAACTCCTCATAGGGTACCACCCTCAGAGCAATGAAGACTTGAACGTATATCCAGAGAGCGTTCCAGCTCTGCCAGCTGGTCAGGTGGTATCCCTGCGTCAGGGTCGGGAGACAAACAGGTGACCTGGGGGCTGCAGACATGCTGAGAAGTTCCTCCAAAACCCTACAAAGACAAGCACGACTGCAGCATCGCTTCCCTCATCTGTAGCATGCAGGCTGGGGCAGACACCAAGCAGGAAGCCCCTGCAGAGCACTTGGAACAGTGGCCATGCCAGGTGTCTGCCAGAGTGACAAGACACACTCCCAACCTCTGGACTGACTTGGACATGGGAGGGGACATCTTTACCCAAGCTGATGCCACAGAGGAAACTTCTGGAAGGGAGGAAGTACAAAAGCTGCAATGGATTGCGGGGCTTGGGGAGGGGGGTCTAGCTATCTCCATTTCGAGGCAAGTTCTGTTTATTCTATGATAAATGTAGTGGCAGTGACAAAACAGACCAGTGTTACATGCATTGATGGGATTGTGACTTGGTGCCTACGCCCTCAGGCCTCTAGGGTCTGTGGATCTTGCCCCTCCTTCTGTGTTCTTCCCTGGCTCCTTTCCCTAGCTCCCCCCTGCTGCTTCTCAGGGGAAAGCTACACTCTTAAAAGGAGAGCCCATTGTGCTCAAACAATAGGACCTGAGACCAGTTTCCTCTCTAGAAGAAAATATTTACAGGAAAAAATGGGTCTGCTCCCCTCCCCCACCGTGGGCTTTGCCCTTGTCAGAAGGCCCCCATTTGGTGGTCTATATTTAGACTTCTGAAACCCAACCCTCCAATCTGTCTTTTCTAGAAAGAAAAGCCAGGGTTTTCCTAGTACCCTGGGAATACCCAACCCGGATGGCTCAGCTGGGCATCTGCTGTTGAAGGGAAGGCCCTGGGATTGGGAACAGCCCCAGAGGGTTGACCGTGCCATGAAGCCAGGAAGCCAGGCTCTGCACCCCACCACCGAGCACACCCCCCAGATCCTGGGCCATCTCATCTGCTGGGTTAGATTTTATTTTTAAGATTTTCTCCAAAGGTAGGTTGAGATGTTGCAAATAAGCCTCTAACCCTGGCTTCAGGAGGGAGGAAGAAGGCAGGGGGACCAGAACCCAAGGTCACCCTCAGCTACAGAAAGAGTTTGAGGTTAGCCTGGACTACCGAAGACTCTATCTCAATAGGGAAAAACTAGGTTTTCTCAAATGGTGGAGTCCTATTTTGAGTGGAAGGTCTGCGGGAGGTATACAATATTCCAGACCCAACAAATCAAGGCCAGCCTTGCCACCCATCACAGGAGCCAGAGAAGTGACTCCTCAGCTCCTCAGAGCAGGGATGGGGTGGGTGTGAGGTTCTCCACCCTCTGTACCCAGATGGCGTTAACCCCTGCTGTTCGTGCCTTACCCTCCAGAGTGCTGGGGTCACAGGCCCATCACCTCACCCAGACCCATTTCCTCTTATTACTGCAACGACTGTTTCTTTAGAAAATGACTGGGATTACTCTTGTGACTAATGTCATCTCCCTTCTATTATTGTCACGACTTCAAGTGGCAGTAAGTTCCATTAGCCATCAAAGAAAGCCCCTGGCTATCAAGGGCTGCGAACAACTTTCAGGTCACTCCTCTGGCTACATGTCATGTTTGCCTTCAGTGAGACACAGTCCTGTGAGTGTGAAGTCAGACACAAAGAGAAAATGCTTACCGCAGCATCAGCCCCACTCATCCTGGGCTCTTGGGAATCTTTTGTTTGGGTTTGTTTTTGTTCTTGTTTTGAAACAGGGTCCTAGGATATAGCCCTCCTTGGCCTGTTGCCTACCATGTAGTAAGGAGCCTAGGCTGGCTTAGACCTCAGCTTCAAGAATGCTGGGATTAAAGAGTTGTGTCACCATGGTGGACTTGCCTGTGACCTTGCCTTCTGGATAGGAAAAGCAGTTTCAGACCCTGCTCATCCTGGCTGAAGCCAAGCCTTCCTTTCCTTGCCACACAGGTGTAGGCGTACACCTGCCAGAGCCAAGACCAGGCAACATCCAGATACTTCTGTTCTACAGTCCTGACATCTGGAGCAGAGACAAACAGCCCATCTTTCCCTTCTCCCAGGGCAGGCTGCAGGAGGGGAGAAAGGGTCCTGGGCTAGGAATCTAAGCCAGCTCTGTCTAAGGGACTCTGGGCTAAGCTTGGGATGTTGTATATCCCAATTCCCTTTGTCTGTCAGTGGCTTCTCACAGCCAACCCCTCCCCAGTCCTCAGGGCCTCAGTGGAGCAGCCAATACTCAAGTGTCTATATCCACCCAGTCATATTCCCAGGTCCCATTGTAGTGTGTAAACAGCTATTCACTGTCTGTCACCTTGAGCTCTACTTGTAGCCTTAGCATGTAGCCCTAGCATGTACACTTAGCACTTGACCTTACAGTCAGCAGAGTGATCTGTTGCGGGATAATCGTTTTTGTACTCTGTTAAGATGTGTCTTTGCCAAGGCACCTTTTGATTGGTTTAATAAAGAGCTGAATGGCCAATAGCTAGGCAAGAGAGAATAGGTGGGACTTCCGGGCAGACAGAGGAACTCAGGATGAATATAGGCATACCAGAGATGCCAGTGAGACATTGAAGTAATTGGTACAGAGGAGAGGTAACTGAGCAGAATGTAGATTAATATTAATGGGTTAATTTAAGTTATAAGAGCCAATTGGGGAAAAGCCTAAGATAAGGCCAAACTTTCATAATTAACAATAAGTCTCCATGTCATTATTTGAGGCTGGCAGGCCAAGAAAGTCCAACTATAGTCATCAGCAAAGATTTCCCTTCAGAGAGACCTGGGGTAGCATTTCAGTTACATAGTTAGCCTCTGCCTCAAGTTGTTGGGTAACTCAGAAGCCAAACCAACTGTTTCCTCCCCGATTTCACCCCAGCCCTGCCACCTTCAGGCCTATCACAGGGCCCCACTTTGTACCACACTGACTCCCCAGGACCAAGCCAGGCAGCAAACCCAATTCTAACGCTAGTAATAGGATAATGGATGACACGGCAGGGGAGGGAACCTGGAGCATGTCACTTCCACCGTGGAGGGGAGGAAGCAGGGCCAGAGAGGACTCTCTTGGCAAGAGAGGAACCTGAGTTGTCAAGACGGCAGGATGTATCTGTGACAATGAAGAGGTTGCACTGGCAGTGGGAGCCTGGGGGATAGGGGTCCTTAGAGACAGCCCAGCAACACAGGGAAACTAAGGCCCAGAGATGCCACACCTAAGGCCTCATGGGAGAAGGGGTGGCAGAGCCCAGGCTGGACCCTCTCTGTGCCTCTCACCTTGCGCCAGAGCAGCTGCGACTGCGGTGGCCCGGTGCCCTCGATCTCATGGCGCATGCTGTTGAAGAGAGAGACACCATATTGGTCCTCGTAGAATCGGAGGAACTCTCTCAGGATCTTCTCAGTTTTCTCTAAAAGGGAAGCATGAATGAGTGTGAGGTCACCATGGACACCTAGGGAATCAAGCCTGCAAAGTCCTGCATGGAAAACTTTCCACACAAAGCACAAATGTCCTTTCACCCAAACTGGAGCTGGCCACCTTAGTCTCCCACGTGCTAGGCAAGAGCTTTGGTTGTGAGCTGTCTGCACCCACTCCCGACAGGAAGCTGGTCAGTGGCTACACAGACAGAAAGTAAAACCACAACTACATCTAACCGGCCTGTGAGAGGCTCAGCCTCACTGAAGACCAGCAGCAGGTGAGACTGCCTTTTTTCCTGGGTGGACAGGGTGTGGTTAGTGGGGAAAGGTTTCCCTAAGGGGACTGCAGGCTCCCTTTGATGCCTGGCTCACACCTAGGACACCATGCAAGCAAGCAAGCACCAGCTAACTGCACAGTGGTGACACTGACAAGCATAAATCAGTCCACTCAAGACAGAAAAAGGCCAGGCTATGGTGGAAGTGGCTTGCAGACTATGTGAAGATGGTTGGAAAGCAATGGTCTCACATGCTGAACACAGTCCCTGAGTAAGAATGATTACTATTTGTGAAAAGGAACTGGTGAGGCCACAGGCTCGGACCTTGAGGTACAGGGGAGTTGGGGGTACATACAAGCCTCCTCCCTCTCATACATCTCATACATTTACTCATGATTCAATTCATCTAAAGTTAATTAATCTTTTCTTCTTTCTTCTTTTGAAACAAGATCTCATGAAGCCCAGGCTGGCCTCTAACCCTACATAGCCAAAGATGACTTTGAACTACTGGTCCTCCAGGCTTGTGCCACACACCCTGTCTAAATGTCAGGGATCAACCTTGAGATGCATGCATGTTAGGTACACACTCCCCAAGCTGAGCTACAGCCCCAAGCCTGCAAGCCCACAACTTGCTTCTCCTAGCAGTTTGCTTCTCTCTGGTGCTGAAGCTGTTTCAGAACAGAGAGGGTGAGTCCATGGTCTCCATAGCAGGCCCAGCAGGCAGCAGGTTCAGTATTGTCCTGCCTGGGTGTCCCTGTTTATATAGATGGGAAAACTGAAGTCTCTTGAGAGCTTAGAAGAGCTCTCCTGGCCCTAAAAATCTACAAATAGGATCTCAACCTAGGGTTTATGAAGCTCCCCTCCCTGGGCCTCAGTTTCCCCTGTACGCTGAAAGGGCTAGAAGCAAGGACAGACCACCCTGCCACCACTGACAGTTCCAAAGACCTAGTCCTTCATCCGGGGACCCACTGGCCATCTCCAGGTTCCTAGAGTTAGTGGCCTAGGACGGTGTTTCCCCCTCTCAATGGCCCTATGAGGCAGAACCTGTGTCATAGACACTCTATAGAGGAGGAGACTGCGACCCACTGCCTTAGTCACACAGACAGTGAATGATGGAGCTGGGCTGTAACCCAGGACACAGCTAGGAGCTGGTAGCCAGGGAGAACCCAGGGCTGGTCCCACATTCCCACACCCAGTCTGCACCTCTAGCCCTGCCTGGGTTATAGCAGAGAGGGCGTGTGCTTTGGGTAACTCAGCTCACCCACCACTCCACAAAGCCAGCCAGCCAGGCAGCCTTTCCTGGACTGAGGTTGCATTTGTCTAGATTCTGATTGGGAGGAGGGAAGAATGAATGAGGAATGTGTTCGGCGTGCCTGTTTGTAAAATCCCGCAGAGCAGCAGTCCTCAGAAGCCGTGGGAATTGTCCTGGAGACAATTGGGCAGGGGAAGGGTGAGGGTGGGGGATGACCATGGGCCTGTCACCCCCACAGTTACTGCTGATGTAGTGCTAACCCCAGGGTGGGGCATGGCTTCATGGGAGTTGGGTGAGGGAAGGGGAGGCTTCGGAGACCACTGTCCTTAGCCCAGGCTCTGCCTTGACTCCCTGCAGGCAATGAGTCCTGCCCAACGTTGCAGCTTAAAGCTTATGCTACAACTCTGAGGCCCAACTCAGGGCAGGGACATCCTCAAACAGCATTATCCTAACAAGAGCAAATGTGTACCTGATGCCTGGCCGGGCTCAGGAAGAAGCTGCCGTATTAAAAATAAAAAAAAAAAAAAAAAATAAAAAAAAAAAAAATTAAGACTTGAATCTGGGCCTGCTCGGCCCCCACAGCAACTCTCAGCGACCAGGCTGGTGCCCAGTCAGGGAAGAGCTGTGCCCCAAAGCTGGCCTGTGAAGGGAGCAGGAAGAGAAAAGCTGAGCCGGCAAAGACCTGGTCATGTCCCATCATTCCATCGAGGGTGTCTGAGACCAGGTCAGACAGGTTGTGCCAGTGAAAGAAGTTTCTGGAAGCCCTGAAAGAGGGCGATCAGAAAGGCCTGTGACCAGTGACAAGGTGGAAGCTGGGTCAGCAGGGGGCTGCTGCTGCTCAGCTCCCTTGGCCAAGGCACTGACACTGATGGGCCTAAACATGCTGGGCGTGGAGCAGCCAGGACAGCCCACAGGCCTGGGATGAAAGTCACGCAGTCTCTTTTCACACAAAGGTGAACATAAGTCACCCAAGTGAGATGGGACCACAGCTGAGGAAAGGAAGCGAGAAGCCTAGGGAGGGAGAAGCCACAGGGGCCAGGACAAAGTAGAGAGAAGGGCAGAAATGGTGTGGGGATGGGGGCACGTCTCCACTAAATGATGTGACAAGAGGGTACACTCATGTATCCAAGAGCAGAGTGCCAGGTGAGACCCCTGTTGCACCCAACTGCAATCCCAGGCACTCTCCACTTGACATCAGAGCCAACTTGACCCAAATCTGGCAAACCCTGTGCAAGCTGATCTTCCACAACCAACTCTTGAGAAGGCAGGCCCCTCTTGCTACATTCTGCTCTCAGTTCTCGAGCGGATGGGATGGGATGGCAGCCAGTGTTGAAGTTACAGACCTCACATGGGGAGTAGGTAGGCAGCTCGCTGTCCCTTAAGCACAAAACGGGTGCTTAACTAAGGAAAGGGACCTAGGGATGGATCAAAGGCCAAGCTTATTGACAAGAATGGCTGGGGGGGGGGGGGGAAAAAGGACCCAAGAACAGTGCCAGGAAAAGTGGCAGGAAGGATGGTCTGTGAGTTGGCACCCCAGGAAGAGCTGGAAGAGGGTGACAGCAGTGGACAGAGCTCAGTCAGCCGTAGAACTCCTACGTGCATGGTACCAAGGAAGTGCCCCCAAACACAAGGGATGTGTATTCTGGCATCTGCAGGGGCAAAGGGGACACCAAAGATCCATGGGGTTCTAATTTGGACTTATAGGACAGCATAGGAGAAGACATGAGTAGGCGCTATGGGCCTGGCGCACTTTACCTCCCTGCCGATGGGCTCTGCAATCCCAGCTCAGGTAGTCACCTTTCCTTGGGGCTCCTTCACAGCGCCCTTCCTGTAAATGCTACTTAGCCCCCCTTTAGAGATAGTGTCTAACTGTATACCCCAGGCTGGCCTGAAACTCACAGCAATTCCCCTGCTTTTACCCTCCCGAGTACTGGGATCACAGCAGGAGCCATCAGAGCCACTGCTTCTGTCGCCTTCTACATTCAGCTAGCTCCAGAGGGCATCAGAGGGTTCCAGGACTCAGCATCCAGCTTAGGGTCTGCAAGGTAGGGTGGGTGACTAGTGCTGAGGTGGAGGTTGCGGGGAGCAGCCCACTCTCCACACCTGCCCACATCAGCTCTTCCCATCTCCTCACACCCTCTGAAGACACTCCAGTGTGTGGATTTAGGGTAGACACTAAATGGGGTCTCTGAGGCCAAGGCTCACCACCCTGAGGATGAACTCTGAACAAAAAGGATGAGAGCCTGGCTAGATCACACAGGAGATGGAGACAGTTAGGATCTGAGTGGGCTCCGACCACTGCCTACAAAACATCAGAGGGCAGTGAGGAGGCAGCCTGTGGCCCCACCTGATGACAGAGGGCCAACCTCAGGGACCCTAGGCCAGAACCTTGAGGGCTAGTACAATAGCTATAGATGCATGGGTGAGGCTGTCTGTGGGTGTGAGCTGGCCTCACCCACCCAGGTTGCATATTTTCATCGGCCCTCGCCCTCATGTGCACTGACTCAGCCCAGATGCTGCTGCCTGAAGAGCAGTGGGGACAATAGAAACTGATAGGCCTGCCCTCACAAGGCGAGAGTGAGGCGCCCCCCCCCCCCAGTTCCTTCACATTCTTCACAGAAACCAGGCATCACAGAGCTCCTTCACAGAGCCAGACAGGATGTGGACAAGGCAGGTTATGGTGTGAACACAACAGGCTATAATATGAACACAACAGGTTATGGTGTGAACACGGCAGGTTATAGAGTGAACACAACAGGCTATAATATGAACACAACAGGTTATGGTCAACAGGTTATGGTGTGAAAATTCCAGGTTGTGGTGCAAACACAGCAGGTTATGGGAGGAATACAGCAGGTTAGGAAGTGAACCAGCAGGTTATGGACAGTGCTGCATACACAGCCCAGAGCACCAAAAACACTAGTCTTAATTATAACAGTGCTTAGCTTGTAACTATGGAGGCAAGAGGTGCGCTGAACTACTCATTACCTGGTACAACTTTTATAGCTTGAAAAACATCCATTAAAGATTTTTTTTTTTTCTGGAAGGAAGGAAGGAAGGAAGGAAGGAAGGAAGGAAGGAAGGAAGGAAGAAAACAGAAGATCACACAAAATAGGAGCTAGGGAATTAGGGCTTGTATGTATCCTCTATGCACACCCAGGTTCCCCTACCACCACACCAACCTGGGTTAGGTGTCCCATCTCTGCTCCCTGTGCCAGCAATACCCCTCAGGAGTGGGCTCACCTCACCCAGAAGCTGGGCTACCTGCCTCAACAAGCAGACTTTTCTGCAGGGCCCCAGGGAAACATGTTGCATGCAAACTCCTACTTTGCCTGCAGTGGTATCACACACCTTTAATCCTGGCACTTGGGAGGCAGAGGCAGGTGAATCTCAGTGAGTTCGAGTCTAGCCTGGTCTACAGAGTGAGTTCTAGGACAGCCAAGAAAAACCCTGTCTCGAAAAACCT